GACAGAATATAGATTATAACTGTATATAGCCGGACAGAGGAACTGACCTCATCAGATAAACTACAGAGAAAAAACATCAGTTCTGACACTCAACAGGCAGCTAATATTAAGGTGTAATAAACTCACAACATCAATGATAACTATCCTAACCCCATTCAAATCAAGACACCGATGTATCATTGCTAGCGATGGACTGCGAAAGATTGTTAAACGTCAGCATCAGACGGTGTTTAGCTGTTGGCGCCTCCATGCGACGTATAAGGTGCCCTTTTTCCAACCTGTGAGCACCTGCCCCCAAATATGTCTGTGCACGCCAGTGCTGAGCAGCCTGAGGAAATACGATTGTGGGTAAAAAACACAAACAAACCTCATATTCAGGTTTTAAAATGGAGAAAAAATATAAATCTTTTTTGTTTTCCATAAATATTAATTTACTGCATCCTGAGTATCCCATCTTAGCTGCTCCTGCAGCACACAGATTTAGATTTGTTTGTAAAACTATTTAATCAGTTCAGCTCCATAGTTCTTAATATATAATAGTTTTTAATACTTTTTGAAGGTTTTACATAATTTCTAATCAGTTTTATTCATTGTTTACTCATTGTTTTGTTAGTTTTTCCCTCGGTGCATACTGTTATTTCACTAAGACGGTTCAGTTTATTTTGTATGATAGCAAAGCAATGCTAAAAGCTCTTCAGAAATGTACGTCTATTGGTTTACAGAAGGCGTACTTCCATCAGTACGCCATATTGGTGTTAAAAATGTGAGTTTTTATTTCTAAAGGAAATGTTTCTCTCTCACAATAACTCAGGGTGACGGAGGAAGTCACAGCCAAGCTGCTGAAGAGCGCCTACCATCAGATAGAGCGGGACGGGATCCTGGCCACCAGGCTGTGTACGCACAAGGACGACGTAGAGCTCACCAACCAGAACAAACTCCAGCAGCTGCCAGGTCTGAATATCCTCCCTTATTTCCCTTCCTCACACTGATGCAGGACCAACCGGACGCCGCTGGAGTTCTGCTCCCTGAGCCTAAACTGAACAGTAAACCAATTAATCGGCTTCCACCTGAAGGTGTTTTGCTTTATTTCGTCTCCACAGGATGCAGTTTTCAGCTTCTTAGAAATGTTTCCAGTACGGTGTAGTAGCTCTATGTGTTAAAACCAACTCTCCCGTTTGGCTCAGAAAAACGTCTTTGCCACTTTTTGCTCAAGTTTCATATAAAGTGAAATAAGTTCAGTGGAAAAAAACAAAAAACTAAAAAGCTAAACTCAAATCAAAGCTCAGATGACCCAGCTTTCCGACAGCATTTAAACGCACCACGCAGACAGCAATCTGGTAGCTCTCTGGATATGGAGGACCAGCTCTACCACGTTTAAAATTAAATGCAGAAATAAATAAATGCTCAATAAACAAGTATAAAATTAAATGCCCCGAAAAAATAAAATAAACAAATAAATTTGGGTAGAAATTAAATTATACAGCGAGACATAAATGTATGAATCCCTCTTAAATAGCTTCTTTATTCGCCTTTGTAATAATTACCTTATTTATTTATTGTCCGTTATAATCTTCATTTTTATGTATGAATTACTTATTTTTTAAGTATTTATGTGCATTTTATAAGTTTGTCTATTTTATTCTTCCTTTGTATTTTTTTTACCCTATTTATTTCTGCCTGTTTTTATATTTCTGTCTGCATTTCTGCCTCATTATGCAAATAAGGGGCGTGTCTTAGCTTAGCTAACTTTAGCTTTCGTTTAGTCTGTGTGCTTCATGTGATTCTTTTGAATTAATTTAATGGTTTAGTTTTGTAATTATCAAATTTTTGTCTTATTTTTTTATTTATAATTTCACTATATTTCTTTTTTGAACACACATTTACCTGAAGTTATGCACAATATTATATATCTAAATTGTAAATCCATCATTCCGGACACAAATCGTATTTAAAAGCAAAAAAAAAAAAGCCCCTCCAGAGTGTTGCTTATTTCATCCTTTTTATTATTTCCTTTTTAACTGGGGGGGAAAAGAGCTTTGTCTCCCTAAGTCGGTGTCCCTGATTGTAACTGTTTGACAACACTGCATGGGATTCACCGCTGGCCTCTTCCCCACGCCGTTTGCAGAGAGATGCTGTGGGAAATCTACCGATATTGGTCTGAATGCAGCGTTGTGCTACGTTCAGATCGCACGCAGCAGGAGCAGCAAAAACGCTCATGCTGCTTAATTTTTTATGTTTATACAAAATTAGTTCTGACGCCCGGCTGAAGGATCTTTCTGCTCTAGCTGCACAGTGGTAAAGTGGGTCTGATGCGTGTTGGGCGGAGCTACTCTATCCTTTCTTTGCCTGGAACAATGGCAGCTATATTTGCGTAGCCTCCTGAGACCATCCTGATCTCGCGAGCTTTCAAGGTTTCACTCGCAGA